ATGGTAATGGAGAAACCCAATTTTTCCTGGGGAAGCAATCAGTGCTAGGATATGGCAGGTGCTTTATGCACAGGATTTTGCAGCCAGACAGACCAAGTTTCCACCTACCAGCTGCAGGTCTATGACAAGTGATCTCACCTCTCTGAGCCTCAGTTTCCTTATCTGCAATATGGGTATGTTAATAACAACCTTCCAGCATGGATGGCAAGATTCGGTAAGATCAAATGAGTCCCTCTAAAAAGATAATTAAGGACACAAACAGCCGACTCATAAAGAAGAAATGCAAACGGCTACTGAAACACAAAAAAATACAAAAGTCAGCCAGGCCCAGTGGCACGTGCCTGTAGTCCCAGCTACTCGGGAGGCTGAGTTGGGAGGATCGCTTGAGCCTGGGAGGTCAAGGTTGCAGTGAGCAAGATCTCGCCACTGCACTCTAGTCTGGGCAACAGAGCGAGATCCTGTTTGAAAACAACAACAACAACAAAGAAAAAACCAAACACACACAGAGATGTTTCACCACAGTAGTAAGGGATATGCCATATAGAGTCAGATGTCCTTTTTTCCATCAGATTGGAAATTATTTAAAGGCTGATAACTGCATATTGGCAAGGTTGTAGCAACATGCAAATTAAAACAATAAGTTACCCACCTCTGCCCATCAGATTAGCAAACAAATGGAAAGACTGATGGCATCTGGTGGAACAGATTTCCTCCCTTTAGGTAGGTGGATGAATTGCTCTGTGGTTTTGGAAATGATGTGGCAGAAGCAGATAAAAATTCAATGTATAGGGCCTTTGACCTGGCAAAACCACTTCTAAGAAGTGGGTGGAGAGAAATGAAATCACCAGATGGTAGAATAGATACAAGTACAATGAAATGGTATAAAAGCAAAAAGAAAGAAAGACAGAATATTAACATCTATCAGAGGGAAATGGCTAACTACTGAAACAGCCAAGTGAGGGCTAAAAAAATGTCTTGGTTTTTTGTGTTTTTGTTTTGAGACAGAGTCTCACTCTGTCACCCGGGCTGGAGTGCAGCGGCGCTATCTTGGCTCACTGTAACCTCCATCTCCCAGGCTCAAGTGATCCTCCCACCTCAGCCTCCCAAGTAGCTGGGATTACAGGTGTGTGCCACCATGCCTGGCTAATTTTTTTGTATCTTTGGTAGAGATGGGGTTTCGCCATGTTGGCCAGGCTGGTCGTAAACTCCTGACCTCAAGTGATCTACCTGTCTCAGCCTCCCAAAGTGCTGGGATTATAGGCATGAGCCACTGTGCTTGGCCAGATGTCTTGTATTTTTAATGTCAATTTCATATCCTTCTACTTTGCTGGATTCATTTATTGCTGGAGTCATTTTATTATTGATTTTCTGGGGTTCTCCGGGTACAATATCAGATCATCTGCAAATAAGAATAGTTTTACTTCTTCTTTACCCATTCTGATGTCTATAATTGGTTTCTCTTGTTTAATTGCATCAGCTAGTATCTCTAAAAGTTGTTTATATCAACAGAGAAGAATGTACAGCTATATTGTTAGGTTAAAAACGGGTTGCAAATAATAGATACAATTTTTCTTTGTAAACACAGAGACACTGTAGATGTGTAGATGTGTATGTGTAGATGTGTAGATGTGCATTTATCTCTAGTTGTGAGAACATACAAAATACCGTGAAGGGATAATATCATCATGCTAACACTGGTTTCACAGGAAGCTGGGCTTGGAAGAAGGGGTATTATATTTTATACAACCTATAACTCTGAATTGTTAACCACAAGATTGTTTCTCTCATAATGTAAACAAAATCAATAATGCGTTAAAGTTTGGCTTTTAAAAATATATAAGCAAAAGGAAATGGGCGATGAAGTGTTTGAGCATTGACTATGACAAGGCTTAACCTCGTATCTGGCACATAGTAAGTGCTCAGCAAACAGTGCTTTTTCTTTTTCTTTTCTTTTTCTGTCGCCCAGGCTGGAGTGCAGTGGCACAATCTTGGCTCAGTGCAACCTCCGCCCGCAGGGTTCTAGCAATTCTCCTACCTCAGCTTCCTGGGTAGCTGAGATTACAGGTGCCCGCCACCACGCCCGGCTAATTTTTTTGTATATTTAGTAGAGATGGTTTCGCCATGTTGGCCAGGCTGGTCTTGAACTCCTGACCTCAGGTGATCCACCTGCCACGGCCTCCCAAAGTGCTGGGATTACAGGCATGAGCCACTGCGCCCGGCCACAATGCTTTTTCTTGTTACCTCAGCCAATTCTAACAGCCACCCTCTAGGAAGATCCTGCTGTTCCTCCTGTTTTACAGATGAGCTCACTGAGGCACAGAGAGAACACACAGATGCAGGGATGGGGAGCTGGTAAAGCTCTTCAAGCCCTCAGAGCCCAGACTCTGTCTTAGCCACTCCCCTCCACAGTCCCTCCAGAGAAAGGAACTGAGGCAAGTAGAAGTAACTTGCTCCAAGTCACCAGCAAGGAAGCAGCAGTGCAGGAATTCGAATCCAGGCCTCTGCTGCAAGTCTCTGAGCCCAGCACACACAGCACTTCCCAACCTTCTCAGGACACTTGTCAGACATGCAGTTTTCCAGGCTGTCCCCTGGAGATCTGGATTCCTACGACCTGGATGGGGCTGAGGGGCCTATGTTAGGAACAAGGGCCTGAGAGGATTCTGCTCATCAGGGAAGTTGGGGGCACATGGCCCAGGGAATGGCGCCGCCCAGTGGTTGCTACAGCCCCTGCACACAGAATCAGCCAGGACACTACCAACACTGAGTCCGCTCTGCAGCCACAAAAACAGATGAGGTAGATTTCTACAAATCGATGTGGAAATACGGTACACAGGGAGTTGAGTGAAAGCTGTAAGTGGTAGAACAATTCTTCTAGTGTGATATATCTAAGTTATAAAAGTACAGGCCGGGCCGTGCATGGTGGCTCATGCCTGTAACCCCAACACTTTGGGAGGCTGAGGCGGGCAGATCTGTTGAGCTCAGGAGTTTAAGACCAGCCTGGCCAACATGGCAAAATGCCGTCTCTACTAAAAATACAAAAATTAGCCGGGTGTGGTGGTGCCTGCCTGTAATCCCAGCTACTCAGGAGGCTGAGGCAGGAGAATTGCTTGAACCTGGGAGGCAGAGGTTGCAGTGATCTGAGACTGTGCCACTGCACTCCAGCCTGGACAACAGGGCGAGACTCTGTCTCAAAAAAACAAAAATAAAAACAAAAACAAAAACAAAAACAAAACACAGGCCAACAGCTAAGTGAAATGCATGTGTGCACTGAAAGACACATACAAGAATGTTCACAACAACCTCTTCCTAACAGCTCCAAACTGGGGACTATTCAAATGTCTATCAACCAGGAATGGATAAACAAATTGTGGTATATTTATTTAATGAAATACTATACAGCAATAAAAAGAACAAGTTGTTGGCCAGGCACAGTGGCTCACATCTGTAATCCCAACACTTTGGGAGACCAAGGTGGAAGCCCAGGAGTTGGAGACCAGCCTGGGAAACATAGTGAGACCCCATCTCTACAAAAATATTTAAGAATTAGCCAGGCATAGTGGCACATGCCTGTAGTCCCAGCTACTCAAGAAGCTGAGGTGGAAGGATCGCTTGATCCCAGGAGATTGAGGCTGCAGTGAGCCAAGATTGCACCACTGCACTCCATCCTGGGTGACAGAGTGAGACCCTGGTTCAGGGAAAAAAAAAAAAAAAGGCATGGTGACTCACTCCCATAATCTCAGCACTTTGGGGGGCCAAGGCAGGAGGATTGCTTGAGCCCAGGAGTCTGAGACCAAGGCAGGAGGACCAAGGCAGGAGGATTGCTTGAGACCAGTATAGGTAACATAGCAATACCCCATCTCAAAAAAATTGTTTTTAAGACAAAAATAAATAAATAAAAAAAAACTGGATTGTTGATCCATATAACAACCTGGATGAAATAAACCAGACATAAAAGGGCATATACTGTGTGATTCCATTTCTAGGAAGTTGAAGAACAGGCAAAACCAATTGGAGGTAAAAGAAACCAGTATAGTGGCTACCTCGGGGGGTGAATACTGGCTGGGAAAGAGCATAAAAAGTTTAGATCTACCTCTCAGTGCATTTACTTACTTATTTATTTATTTATTTATTTATTTAAGACAGAGTCTGGCTCTGTCACCTAGGTTGGAGTACAGTGGCATGATTGCAGCTCACTGCAACCTCCAACTCCTAGGTTCAAGCTATTCTCCTGCCTCAGCCTCCTGAGCAGCTGGGATTGCAGGTGTCTGCCACCATGCCTGGCTAATTTTCGTATTTTTAGTAGAGATGGGGTTTCACCATGTTGACCAGGCTGATCTTGAACTCCTGGCCCCAAGTGATCTGCCCACCTCGGCTTCCCAAAGTGCTGGGATTATAGGTGTGAGCCACCACACCTGACCTCTCAGTGTATTTAGATGTGTATGCTTTCCTGTATATAAATTATACCTCAGTAGAAAACAAGAAGTTAAAAGCCTCAAAAATAAAAAACAATAAAAATAACACATAACTGTGTGTGTGTGTTTAGAGAAAGTGCTCCCAGGATGTACTCCAAGCTAGTGATGGCGGTTGCAGAGGGAAGTGGTGCGCTGAGGCTGGGGAGAAAGTGGAGTGCTCTTTTATTCTTCCCTCTAAATTATTCTATATGGCTTGAAGTTTTTGTAATCAGCACAAACTACTTGTAAAAACGTTTAAAGCAACTCAAACCTTAAAACAAAAAAAGGAACACACACACACACAGAGATTCTCAGGCCCCACTCCAAATGTGCTGACTCAGAATTTCCACCAGGAACCCAAGCTCTCCTCCAAACCCTGGCTCACCACCATTGCGCTCTTGCATACCCCCAGGGACGGGTTCTTACTGCCTCCCAGGGCATTGGATGTCCTTCCGCCTGTGTTGCCTCTGGTCCTCCACCTTGAGTTGGGCTCCCCCTCTGGGTCTTTCCATCTTCCCCATCACCCACTGGGGCCCCCACAGTGCTCACCTACTGACAGGGAGCCGCGGGCCAGTTTGGGGAGCAGCCGGTCAAGCTGGCGGAAGGTGTGGAAGACATCAGCTGAATGGACGCGGTCCTGGGCCTGGCTTTGATGGGTGCGTGGCAGCGCCTCGATTCCGTAAAGAGTCAGGTAGCCGGCTCTGAGGGCGGCAGACAGAGGGTCAGGGGTCCTCCTGGGACACTCACACATGGCCACAGCTATTCACAGAAGCTTCGTTCATACACCCAATGAGCACCTACTAATCCTACTGTGCACCAGAGACCATTCTGGGCACTGAACAGTTGGCAGTGAAAAAAACAAAAGTCCCTGTCCTCAAGGAGCTGACATCTCAGCACATGGAGACAGACAACGGACGAGAGGATGAGTAAAATGAGTCATGCGCCAGCTGGTGCCCCGCGGCACTGTCAGACACAAAGCTGGGTAGCAGGATGCGAGGGCGGGGGCTGCAGTGTCAGGTGCCAGGTGAGGGAGGGGCTGGCATTAAGCTGACAGCTGAAGACTGAGAAGGAGCCAGCCGTGGGCAGAGCAGAGGGAGGGGTCGGAAGCAAAGCAAGCACCAGGTGTGATGTCCTAGGGCAGGAGGGAGCCCGGTGCTGGGGAGCAGCAAAGAGGCTGATGAGGCTGCAGCAGAGAGCTCAAGGGGACGGGGCTGAAGTGGGGGCACAGAGAAGGGGAAGAGATGCCTGCTCCCAGGGAGGAATTCAGGGAAGACTTCCTAGAGGAGGGAGGATCTGAGCTGAGATCTGCAGGATGATCGGGGGAAGCAGAAGAGGAACATGTTCAGGCAACAGGCACAGCCTGTGCAAAGGCCCAGAGCTGAGGGTGCAACCGTGCCTGGTGGGAGAGGTGCCAGGTGTGGCTGGTCCAGGCACTGGAGCTGGGGTGTGAGGCAGAGGGTGGCAGGGCCTGGGGCTGTCAGAGCTGGTCACGCAGGGCAGGGCATTTGCAACAGTGAGAAGGTTCTGCTTGACCTGAGGGGCTCTGGGAGGCCTGAGAAGGAGGTCAGGACCTGGTCAGGTGTGAAAAAGAGTAAGACACGGGAGCTAGCATGTACTCTCACTGAGGCACACTTACACGCATGCACATACAGGACCGCGCTCAGAGGACACGCCTTCACCTCCAGCCCCCTTTGGCTGCCCCAGGAGTCCAGCCCCAGCCCGGCCTGCTGACCTCAGTCCTGGGAGGGAAACTGCAGGTTTTCATTTTGTCCTCAAGGTGAGTAGGGCTGCGGCCTCAGCAGAGAGTCGCAACAGAGAGACGCAACCAAAGCCCCAGGGCCTTACCTTCTCAGCCTCCCCTTGAGCTCCTGGGTCCCTGTGCAGACAAAGACCAGGGACCAGGATCTCTCGGGAGAGGGGTTTTCCCAGATGAAGAGAGAATAGAAGCAGGAATGAGGGTGGGTGGGGGCTGAGAGAGGCCTGCGTGGTCCGGGCTCTGTCCTTCACCTGCACAGTGGTGGCAGAAGTTGTAAAGGTGCAGCCCACACACTGGATTCAGTCCGCAAACGTGTTTTATCAAGGGAGCTCCTAAAAACCAACTAAACCTTCCTTCAGACATTTGGGGAAACTCACATAAAATCCGGATTTCCCACTGGTCTCATCTTGAAAAAGGAACCTGGCTGACCTGCGGTCCCCCCTGGAAACCTGGCAGGAGCAGAGTTGCAGCCGCCCCTTTTAGACAGACACGTGCTCGCCAGGCCACCGCGGTACTCCCAAGGCCCTGTGGTCTTGGTGACAGTGCAGTTGACACTGGTTGTCATTTACCATCACACTTGCACTGTTGTTTTTTCCTAACTCAGAGAATGATTTCCCTGTACATATATTTCTACCAAAACAGGGAACGAAAAATAAACCAAAAAAGTAAACTGGCCGGGAGGGGTGGCTCACGACGGTAATCCTAGCACTTTGGGAGGCCGAGGCTGCTATACCACCTGAGGTCAGGAGTTCGAGATCAGCCTGGCCAACATGGTGAAACCCCCTCTCTACTAAAAATACAAAAAATTAGCTGGGCGTGGTGGCGGGCACCTGTAGTCCCAGCTACTCAGGAGGCTGAGGCGGGAGAATAGCTTGAATCTGGGAGGCGGAGGTTGCAGTGAGCAGAGATCGTGCCATTATTGCATTCCAGCCTGGGCAAAAGAGCGAAATTCCGTCTTAAAAATAAATAAAATAAAATAAAGGAAAAGAAAAGAAAAAGAAAAAGTAAACCCAGAGGACCACAAGGTTTTGCTCTGTGGAAGTGAAGCCGGCAGTTTCATATCAAAACAGCACGGCTGAAGGCAGGATAATCCCATGTGTAAATACACCCAAGACCCACAGGCGGCGCTAGAGACATAAAGAAAAATAAAGCTGAACCGAGTGGGGTCAAGGGAGAGAGCCATCATGAAAATGGGACTCAAGAAAGACCTCTCTGAGCAGGTGGCGCTCGCGATGAGGCTTGAACGAAGTGGGGTGGGAGCCACGCAGATATGTGGGGAACAGCATTCCCAGGCAAGGGAACAGAAACAGCAAAGCCCACAAAGAGAGAGCGTGCCCGACCTGCTCAAGGGGCAGCAGAGAGGTAGGTGGGAGGAGGGGAGGCCAGGGCTACAAGGTGAGGACAGAGGAGAACTTTGGGTGTGACTCAGTGAGGCCAGGGCCAACACAGGCCAGGATGGTGGGTATAAGAGGTGGCACCTCACAGTTCGGGCTGCCTGAACCTGCACCCCCTTCACCTCTGTGTCCCTGCCATCCAACTCACTCATTCCCTTTCTATTTCAGGGGCTGCCGATAGCAGTGGAAAGGCCTACAGCTGCCAAACCAGAAGGCAGGAGCTCCAGCCTCAGCCTCAGGCCCTGAAGACACAGTTACGGATTTACAGGTATGGATTTACATCTGATTCCCCCTGAGCTGATTCCCCCGTGCCTGCCTCCATGGAGCCTAGCCAGACCCAGCTGCCCCGCAGCCTGCCTCTCTGACTTCTTCGTCTGCACAGGGACCGGGAGCCAGGAGGCCTGGGAGGATCCCTACTGTGAACTTGCTGGGTAGTTTCAGCTGCCCTCTCTGGACCTCAGCCCCCATCATACAATGACAGGGTGGACCAGACCAGCGTCACCCACACCAATTACAGCCCTTGACACTGTTTATACCACCCCAGGGCGAAACAAAAAGAATGGGAACGGTTAGTGTGCAGAGGGCTGTGACTGAGGGTGCAGACTCCGGGGCCAGCCCTGTCCTGACCCCAACACAGGCCTCTGGGCAAATGACTCAGGCTCTCCAGGTCTGTTTTCTCATCTGTCAAATGGAGTATGTAAAGTCCTAGCCTCCTAGAGCAACTGTGAGCATTAAATGAGCTGAGACACACTGAGTCTACACATATGCACACACACGTCATAAATGTACCCACATGCCCGTATGTGTCAACGAATGGCTGCCCTTTATCCTAGAACTATGTTGCTCTAATTTCTTGGAGGGGTTGAAATGTCCTTTTTAAAATTTAATTTAAATTAAATTAAATTCTGGTTGGTTAAAGGCACCACTAAAAATCAGGGAGCTGTCCTTAACACCGCTCTGTGCCTCACGCCCATGCCCATACTTCCCCATCTTTACTGCTGCCCCAGTCAAATCTTCCAGCAGAGCCAGTGAACCTTACCTCCAAAAGCTACCCAAATTCTCACCACCTCCCTGGGCCACCACCATTCTCTCACCTCGGTGACACCTGGCAGCCTTCTGCTGGGTCCTCCTGCCTCCCTCTCCACCCCTCCCTACCCCTACAGTCCATCCTCTATCCAGCAGCCAGAGGGTCCTTTCAAACTAAGTCCGATCATGTCCTGCCCCTGTGCAAACCCCTCATGTCACCTGATCTTACTCAGCCTAATTTCCAAAGCCTTCCCTGGCCTCCCGACTGCCTGAGGCCTGCTTCTGCCCATTTCTCTGACCTCCTCTCTGCCTTCCCTCCTTGGCTGTTTATGCTGTAGCCACACTGGACCTCTCGCTGAGCTTCCTCCCACCTTTGGGCCTTTGCACCTGCTGCTTCCCCTGCCTAGAGTCTTGGCGTGGTGGGCACTTTGCAGTTAGGTCTTGGCTCAGAAGCCAGACCCCCAGAACGTGACCCTGCCTTGTCAGTTGGCCTAAGAAAGCCCCCCAGATGCTGTCACCCCACCTATGGATCTCTGTCATTGTGTTTATCACTCTCTGACCTAACTCAATTCGGCCTCCCCCACTGGAGTGTCAGCCGAGTGAATTTGGGGACTTCATCTGTCCTGTTCCCTGCTGTATCCCCAGAGCCTGGAATAGTGCCTGGCACTGCTGAAGGAAGGAACGTTCGGTCATGTAGTTTTCAACATACATTTACAAGACCGGATAAAAGGTTAAGGTCCCAAGTTGATCTCCCAAACATTTCGTTTTCTGTTCTGTGAAATCCCGAAGTCTGGAAGCCACGGGACAAGATGGCCTCTGAAGTCTTGCTCTGCGACTTCCTCGCTGATGACCTGTAAGGTCCCATTTCCAGCCAGGGTCTCCTTTTACAGTTCATGAGCTAGGTCGGATGAACACCCGGGTCCCTGGTGCCTGGCGTCTTTCCTACAGTCCTTGCTTTGGGCGTCTCAAATTTCTTCCCCCACCGACAGAGTCCTCTCGGTTCCCTTCACCATTGCTCATGGCTGACACAGGTCAAAGCGCCAGGCCCTAGCAGGAGGGTGGGGGCTGCACAGCCTCACCTGAGCAGGGAGCTGTAGGAGAAGTCAAGGAGACCCATCTCATGCCAGCCACTGCCCGCTTCTGTAGCGTCGCCCAACAGCACCGTGTGCAGGTTCGTATACATGGCTTCTGTGAGCGCCTGGAGTTCTCTGTGGAGGAGAGTCCTGAGGCAGGAAACAAAAGCATGAAAATTCGGCTTCCAAAGAGAAATACACACCTACAGGCATCTCCCTCCCCAAACCTCAGGGTCCCAGAGCTCAAGTTCCCCATTGGCAAAGAGGTCCTGCGGAAGAGTAGCTTAAATAAGAGGGTATTATTATGAATGTCATCGTCAACAATAGTCACCATCTGTTGTACTAAGCATAATTATCTCATTTCATCTTCTGACAAACCTGGGAATAAGAGTTACTATTATGACTCCATTTTACAGATGGAGAAACTCAGAAACAGAGAGGAAAGTGACTTGCCCAAGGTCACACAGCCAGTAGGTGATCTAAGCGGGACTGAAATCCCTGGTATGCCCAACTCCAGAGTCTGAATTCTTAGCCAGGAGAGTCTGTCCCTCCCCAAGGCACACAGCTTGGATAAGGGACCTACAGTGTTCTGGAAGAGAAGGAATTGAAAAACAACTCATCTCTCCCTGAAATCTAAAGGCAGAAAGATCTGTTGGAATAGTTGTGGTGTTCCCTGACTCAGGCCTGTCAATAAGATGTGACCCTGGCCAGGCATGGTGGCTCCCACCTGTAATCCCAGCACTCTGGGAGGCCGAGGTGGGAGGATCGCTTGAGTCCGGGAGTTCAAGACCAACCTGGGCAACATAGTGAGACCCCCATCTCAACAAAAAATAAAATATTAGCCAGGGGTGGTGGCTTGCACCTGTAATCCCAGCTACTTGAGAGGCTGAGATGGGAGGATCGCCTGAGTCTAAGAGCTCAAGACCAGCCTGGGTAACATAGTGAGACCCTGCCTCTGCAAAAATAGAATAAATACATAAATAATAATTAGCCAGATGTGGTAGCAGATGCCTGTAGTCCCAGCTACTCAGGAGGCTGAAGGGGGGAGGATTGCTTGAGTCCAGGTGTTCAAAGCTGCAGTGAGCTATGATCACACCATTACACTCCAGTTTGGGCAACATAGCGAGACTCTGTCTCTTAAAAACAGAAAAAGAAGTCTGGGTGCGGTGGCTCACGCCTGTAATCCCAGCACTTTGGGAGGCTGAGGCAGGCAGATCGCCTGAGGTCGGGAGTTCGAGACCACCCTGGCCACCAAAGTGAAACCCCGTCTCTATTAAAAATATAAAAATTAGCCAGGCATAGTGGCACGCGCCTGTAATCCTAGCTACTCGGGAAGATGAGGCAGGATAATTGCTTGAACCCGGGAGGCAGAGGTTGCAGTGAGCCAAGATCACGCCATTGCACTCCAGCCTGGGCAACAAGAGGGAAACTCCATCTTAAAAATAAAAAAAAATGAAAAAAAAAAAAGAAAGAAAAGAAAGAAAAAGAAAAGACATGACCCCACATAAACATGACACAAGGAAAAAGGGATGTGGGCTGGGGACCTGGTCTCATTGTGTGGACCTGCACAGAGTGAGGAGACGTCTGGGACAGTGCATGGCAGAAGCTGGAAGCTCCCCTGTACTGAGCCTCCATGATACGAAGTCTACATTGAGTCACGACTGAGGATATGATTAGAGGCCAAGAAAGGGGGATCCTGCATCTAAGTCTAAGGCCCCTCTGCTCCTTGTGTAGGATCTAGACCAAAAAGGATATCCCTACAGCAAGTGAACCAGGGTGTCCATGGGAAGTAGGATGGACACCTTTAGACTGAGTAAGCCAGGAGTGCCTGGGTAATCCATCAGGGCAGGGTCTGCACAGGGTGTCCATGAACTCCTGGGTATGAAAAGGTTTGGGATGTTCAAGTGGGAACACAGTGGGGAAAACGACAGACAGGGCTCATGACTCATGTGTGACAATGCATGTGAAGGGTCCTGCGCGGTGCCTGGCACATTGTAAGTGCTCAATACATGGGATCTGGCCTTCAATGGACCCTGACCCAGTTGTTCTCCCCACCCCACTCCAAGCGCTGGTCCTCAGCAGAGACAGGCTCTCAACATATGTGGCTGCTGTGCCCAGAAGACATCACGCCAGCTTGTAAGAAATCCAGAAAATTCCTGAGGCAAACACTGGAGGAAACTGGGATCCTCCCTGGGTAGCAGGGGCAGATTCAGTGAGCTGTGGATTCCTATTGCTAGTGGGATCCCCAGGGTTCCCCTGGAATGTCAGGACCCAGGACACCCAGGCTCCAAGCAGCTGCCTCCAGGCCAAGGTTCAGAGCAGGCATCACATCTCATCAACATCCACCTCATCATGCTGGCCTTGCTTCGGCCTTAACTATCCTGCAAAACAGGTTCCTAGTTGCCCTTCCTAACCTCCACAGGGTATTCTTCCTGGAGACAGATCACTGAAGACTGTCATTGGACTGCGTGAACTCTGCAGGGGCGGACACAGGGTCTTATCTGCCTTAGTATCATAGATGAAGGAGAATGGGCTGTGAAGTCAGCAGACCTGGGTTCAAATCCCAGTCCTGCCACTTACTAGCAGTAGACTTTGAGCAAGTCACTTCACTCCTCTGAGCCTCTGTATCCTCATCAGTAAAATAAAGATAAAAATGCCCACCTCTTGAGGCTAATGCATAGATATGAAAGTGAGCTTATCAGACACCTGGCCTATAATAGCTGCCTTCAAATGGTGGTTGGCATCATTCTGCACACCCTGCATCCAGGGCAATGACCAGGGTACAATGGGTCCTCAGATGTCTGCTGAATGAATGCAGAGCAAACATGTTCATCCATTCTCTTATTGATATGATTACTCCATACGTGGCCGGGCACGGTGACTCACGCCTGTCATCCCAGCACTTTGGGAGGCTGAGGCGGGCAGACCACCTGCGGTCAGGAGTTCGAGACCAGCCTGGACAACATGATGAAACCCTGTCTCTACTAAAAATACAAAAATTAGCTGGGTGTGGTGGCGTGTGCCTATAATCCCAGCTTCCTGGGAGGCTGAGGGAGGAGAATCGCTTGAACCTGGGAGGCGGAAGTTGCAGTAAGCTGAGATCGCACCACTGCACTCTAGCCTGGGTAACAGAGAGAGACTCTGTCTCAAAATAAATAAATAAATAAAATAAAAATAAATAAAATAAAATGATTCCTCCATATGTTTCAGGAGCTGTACCACTTCCAGCTATGTGGCCTAAGACAAGTCACTTATCTGAGCTCCAGTGGCTGCATCTATGAAATGGGGCTGTAAGTTACTTAGTCTCCAGCATTGTTGTGAAGACTAATGAGACAATGCACGCTGCCTGGCACAGAGTATGGACTCAGAAATATTCGTCATCCCACCTCTCTCCTTCATTTTACAGAGGAGGAAACAGAGGGTCAGAGAGGGAAACAGGTTTGTCCAAAGTCACAAAGCTAGGGAGTGATGGGGCTGGGATTTGAATTTAGGGGTGGCTGACCCAAATCCTCTTACTAAAATCAGGGCTGCTTCCAAAAAAAAAGAAAAAAAAACAAAGATGAGAAACAAAGAGTTCTTCTTCCACGCAATTCTTTTGGGTTGTTTTTTGTTTTGTTTCTGTTTGTGTTCTCAAGATGAAATGTCTTTACTGGACACTGGCTTTGGAACTGAGCATGACTTGGGCCACATGGGTAGAAGTGAGTCGCCCACCCTGGCTCGCCCACCCTGGCCCGCCCACAGGTGCCATCTCCAGCCACTCACGGTTTCATCCTGGCCTTTTCATCACTGGGGCTGTAATGTGGAAGCTGCACATCAAAAATCCTCTCCATGAGGAAGACGGCATAGGCATGGAAGTCGAGCCTGGTGCGAGACTCCCACACCACCGCGTCATAGGAGTGTGGGTCCAGGAGGACGGTGACATACCTGCCCCCAACCAGTATCTGTGGGAAGTTGCCAGGGATAGAGTGAAGAGTGTCACCGTGAACAGCAGCCGCTCTCAGTGGTCAGGGCCTTACTATGTGCCAGGCACTGCCCCACTGGACAGTAACAGACTATGTTCTCTTATCTATGCCTCACTACCACCTACCACCCTGTGAGGTAGGGACCATCACTCACCCATTTATAACTGAAAAAGTGAGGCTTAGAAAGGAGATGAAATGTACCCAAGATCTCATAGGTGAGAAATGGCAGGGCTAGGACTGGAATTTGGGAATATTGGGGCTTTTTAAAAATCAAAGACTGTGTTCTTTATCACCTCACTCTTAAGCACCTGCCATGACTATCTTTGTTATTGCCATATCTCCAGCAGCCAGGAGAGAAGGCGGCAGATGGATCTTGTGCACATAATGGATGGATGGATGGATGGATGGATGGATGGATGGATGGATGGATGGATAGATGGATGGATGGATGGATAGATGGATGGATAAGTGGATGGATGAATGGATGGGTGGATGGATGGATGGATGAATGAAAGAATGGATGGATGGTTGAATGGATGGATGGATGGATGGATGGATGGATGGATGGATGGATGGAAGAATGGATGGATGGATGGATGGATGGATGGAAGAATGAATGGATACATGGATGGATGGATGGATGGATGGATGGATGGATGGATGCTGTTGGGTAAATTCCAGTGGGTGGATTGTAGAAGAGTAAATGGGCAGATGGATGGATGGGTGAATGGATAAATGAGTACAAGGAAGGAAGGAAGGAAGGAAGGAAGAAAGGAAGGAAGGAAGGAAGCTGCTGGGTAAATACTTGTGGATAGAATGTTAGGTGAATAAATGGAAGGATAGATCAATGAATCTATGTTGGATGGAAAGATGGATGAAAGGGCAGCTAGAGGTTTGTTGGAAACCAAATGTATGAATAAATGTTGGGTACATGGATGAGAGAATGCTAGATAGATACTGGGTAAAGTGAAGGATAAATGTTGATTGGATGGAAGTTGGAAGGATACATGGAAGGTGGATGGGTGGGTGGTGGTCATTTGAATAGATGTTGTAAGGATGGATGGATGAGATATAAATAGATGTATATCCAGTGGAGAGACATTGAATACTGAATATAGCTGAGTGTTGGGTGGATAGTGGCAGATGAATAGAAAGATGCGTAGATAAATAGAAAAATGAAAATTGGTGGGAACTGACTAGTTATCCCTCAGTATCCATGGAGGATTGGTTCCAGGACTCCTGCAGATACCAAAATCTGTGGATGCTCACGTCCTTGATGTAAAATGGCATAATATTTGCAAATAAGTTACATGCATCCTCCCATATACTTTAAGTCATCTCTAGATTATTTATAATACCTAACACAATGTAAATGCTTTATAAATAGTTGTTATACTACACTTTTAGGGAAGAATTACAAGAAAAAAAAGTCTATACATGTTTGGTACCAACACATTTTTCCCCAAATATTTTCAATTCATGGCTGGCTGAATCCAGAGATATGGAACCCACCCATGGATACAGAAGGCCAACTGTATACAGATGAAAGTTGGATGAATGTTGGATCCATGAGTGGAAGAAGGCTGGGTAGATCTGGGTAGACAGATGAAGGTATAGAAGATGGAAAAATGAATTGACAGATGTCGGGTGAATCTATGGAAAGACTGATGGGTGAGTGGATAGACGGAGGTTGACGAATGAATGCTGGGTGGATATAAGGATGGAAGGATGCTTGGTAGACACCAGGTGGACAGGCAGAAGAATGGAATGGGAAGATGGATGTTGAACAGATGGAAATGGAATGGATGGATGGAGGTCAGCTGCATGGATATACAAGTACTGGAGAGATACTGAGTGACTACATAACTCCATGCTGGGAAGAGCGAGAGGGAGACTGAAGGGATGATATTAGGTCAGTGTTGGGTATGCAGCTGGACAGGCAGCTGGATAGAGAGTTGGCTCGACCACTCAGATGGATGTTGGATGGGGGGGTTGGCATAGGGACAGATGTTGAAGGAATCAGCAGAAACCAGATATGAGGCTCAGCTGCTCATCCCCATCCCTCCCCAGGCACAAGAGGCACTTACAGTAAATATGTCACCGTGCTTCTCCTTCATCCTCGTCAGGAAGCTGGCGGCATCTTTTCCAAAGTCCAAGGCATAGCCCAACCAGGGGATGCTCCCCAGGTCCAGCGGAGGCTCACCGGGTCGCCTACAGAAGCCATGGCACTTGTCACCATTTGATGAGGCAAGGAAGGGCATGGTGTAGGTTGTAGGGTGTGATTTTGAATGGAGCAGTAGGGGACATAATTTGGCTCAGGTTTTTACAGGATCTTTTTGGCTGTGGTGCAGAGAATGGACTGTGGTGGGTGGGAGAAGAGGCTGGGGGTCAGCTCATGTCTGGTACGTGGCATGGGTTCCATTAGAAGTGGTCGTCTCTCTGTGGGTGAGGGGCCTCCCAGCACCCAACAGTGTAAGGACACGGAGTTGTCTGTGTGAGCCAACCTGGACCAGGGTTTGGGTCACCCCACACTCCCTGTCTTGCCCACAGATAAAGGATGAGACTGGAGGGCACAGCTGGGTGGCAGAAGGCAGTGAAGGCACTAGCTTCATCACTACCCCGACCACCCCCTCTTAGTTCAGAAGCTGAGGTTCTTCAGGTGGCAAAAGCCCAGGCTGTAGCCTGTGGAGATGTCCCCAGAGCACATGAGCAGGTCAGCACAGGGGGTGGGCTGGGTGCATATGTGATCATCAAAGTCAGAGTCATCTGTGAAAGCAGAGGAACTCCTCTGAGAACATAAGAACAATATTTCCAGCTCACCGAGGTAGGTGGAACTCTACGATGACCCACAGTGACCCACACCCTTGTATAATCCCCTCCACTGATTAGAGGATAGATGGTACCATTCACTTTAAGAAAAAATTATTCTCCTTAGTGGGCCTGACCTAACAGGTGGCAGGGGACCGGGCTTAAAAGAGACAAGGCTCTTCTTGGCAAAAGAGATTGAAAGCATGAGAGGGACTGGACATACGGGAGAATCTCTCTACTGGTTTTGAAGATGGAAGAGGCAACGTGGCAAGGAATCCAGGTAGCATCTAGAGCTATGAGGGGACCTTGGCTGACAGCAGGCAAGGAGACGGGGACCTCAGGACCTCAGTCCTACAATTACAGGCAAATGCATTCAGCCAGATTCCTCCCGAAAACTGCCCAGTAGGAAGACAGCCCGACAAATACCTTGATTTCAGCCTTGTAAGTTGGAGTGCTGTGGGGCTATCTCAGCTCACTGCACCTCCGCCTTCCAGGTTCAAGTGATTCTTCTGCCTCAGCCTCCCATGTACTGGGATTATAGGCATGCGCCACCATGCCCTGCTAATTTTTTTTGTATATTTAGTAGAGATGGGGTTTTGCCATGTTGGCCAGGCTGATCTTGAACTCCTGAGCTCAAGTCATCCACCCGCCTCAGCCTCCCAAAATGCTGGGATTACATAACCAAAGAGCCCCGTCACCCCGCGCTGGCCTTCTGATCCACCCAACTGAGAACTAATAAGTGGGGATTGTTTGAGGCCGCTTCTTGTATGGCACCTTGTTATGCAGCAATGAACAATGAACGCATGCAAACTTCCAGCATGCTTGTACCGCGCACTGCCCCCAGCGAAGCCTCGTCTCATCCTCACCCACCACCCTCTGAGGGAGGGGCTGTCAGCTCAGGAGAGCTGCAGTCAGAGTCATCAGATGAGCCTCATGGTGTTCCAGGGCTGCTGCTCATGGTGAGTCTTTTAGAGGTCCCTAGACCCAGGTTACGATCCCTGTCAGAGCCACTGGGATGCAGAGAGCTCTCAGATATGCCTCTGCTAAATGAATGAATGAATGAATGAATGAATGAATGAATCATCACATCTCTTCTTCTCACTATGGATTCACTCACTTATTCACCAAACATTAACTATGAAGCAGGAACTGTCCTGGGTATCAAAGATATAGCAGGGAACAGGGCAGACAAGATCCCTGACCTCATGGGGCTTAGCTACTAATAAGGGAAGCAGACAAAACATTTAAAAAGGAAAATCACATAAGAGAGTGAGAATTGTGGAAGAAAATAAAATAGATACAGTCCAACAGTGAAAAGAGGAGTAACCTAGTTTTAAAATGCACAAGGAGGCCGGGTGCACTGGTTCACACCTGTAATCCCAGCACTTTGGGAGGTCGAGACGGGAGGATCACAAGGTCAGAAGATCAAGACCATCCTGGCTAACACGGTGAAACCCTGTCTCTACTAAAAATACAAAAACATTAGCCGGGTGCAGTGGCAGGCACCTGTAGTCCCAGCTACACGGGAGGCTGAGGCAGGAGAATGGCGTGAACCTGGGGAGGCGGAGCTTGCAGTGAGCCAAGATTGCGGCGGCGACAGAGCAAGACTCCGTCTCAAAAAAAAAAAAAAAAAAAAGCACAAGGAATTTGAATAGGCAGTTCTCCAAAGAATATATACAAATGGTCAATAAGGCCAGACATGGTGGCTCATGCCTGTAGTCCCAACATTTTGGGAAGATTGCCGAGGCAGGAGGATTGCTTGACACCAGGAGTTCAAGACCAACATAGTGAGATCCTGTCTCTACAAAAAAAAAAAAAAAATTTTAATTAGCTGGGTGTGGTGGCACACACTTGTAGTCCTAGCTACATGGAAGGCTGAGGTGGGAGGATTGCTTGAGCCCAGGACTTGGAGACTGCAGTGAGCTGTAATCACACCACTGCACTCTAGCTTGAGCAACAGAGCAAGACCCTGTCTCTTTAAAAAAAAAAAAAAAAAGCTGGGGGCAGAGGGGCTAGGCCAGGCATGGTGGCTCACGCCTGTAATCCCAGCACTTTGGGAGAGTGAGGAGAGCGGATCACCTGAGGTCAGGAGTTCGAGACCAGCCTGGCCAGCATGGTGAAACCCCATCTGTACTAAAAATACAAAAATTAGCCGGGTGTGGTGGCGGGCACCTGTAATCTTAGCTACTCAGGAGGCTGAGGCAGGAGAATCGCTTGAACCCGAGAGGTGGAAGGCCACTGCCCTCCAGCCTAGACAACAGAGCAAGACTTCGTCTTAAAAAAAGAAGGGTGGGGGTGTCAATAAGCACATGCAAAGATGCTCAATACTATTAGTCATGGGGGAAATGCAAATCAAAACACAATGAGGTATATGAAAGGAAAATAAAATCTCAGAACCCCAGTTCACTATGCCAAAAGGAACAAATTAAGCTAAAAGCTGAGTCATGCAAGAAACTGCCTTTCCTTTTGTTCCTAAGCAGAGAGCTACAGATAAAAGGTTCAATATCTCCACAGGCAGCTACTCACCTTATCTTACATAAAGTGCCCATTTACTGAGCACGAGATGAATGCATCATTGACTATTGCCTCACCTGCTCCCTTTCTCTTGTAACATGTGGATGACCACACCCTCCCTCTTTCCCCTCCAGCCCACTTTTCCCCCTTTAAATACTGAAACCCTCAAAGTCATCTTTGAAGAAAGGCATAGACCACAGACTGTTTCTGCGATTCTGTGGTTTTTCTTCTCCCTGTGGCATTGTCCTTAACCTTGGTAAAATAAACATCTAAATTGATTGAGACCCAGCTTAGATAATTTTTAGTTCACAAATTGGCAACCATGAAGGGACTCCACGGAGGTGGCCCTGGCCTTTGACAAATCTCCTGTTGGTATTTAGTAACGGCTTGGTATCTGTCTTCATTGGTCAAACCAGTAGGACAATTTGTCGAGGGCTGGGAGCTCCCCCCTGCAGAGAATCCCAGATCTCTGAAAATTTGAGATCTAAGAGAGCTGAAATTTGAGAGCTAAGTTTTATTTTGTTGTACAACTTCTTTTCTGGACTTTTACTTGCTTCCAACAAGGAAGGCAACTTTTCCTGCTTTCATGACAATGGAGAGCAGGTAACTCCTTTCTGGAGTTTCAACTCACTTCCAACAGGGAAGGTAAGTTTGAAGTTTTTTTCCTGCTTCGTAGATGCTAAAGTGCAGGCCAGGCACAGTGGCTAAAGCCTGTAATCCCAGCACTTTGGAAGGCCAAGGCAGGTGAATCACTTGAGGCCAGGAGTTCAAGACCAGCCCAGCCATGATGGCGAAACCTTGTTTCTACTAAAAATACAAAAATTAGCCAGGCGTAGTGGTGCATACCCGTAGTCCTAGCCACTCGGGAGGCTGAGGCAGGAGAATCGCTTGAACACAGGAGGAGGAGGTTGCAGTGAGCCAAGATCGCTCGATTGCACTCCTGCCTGGGAGACAGAGCAAGACTCCGTCTCAAAAAAATAAAATAAAATAAAAAATAAAATTTAACCTGAAAGACTGGTTCAGGCCATGGTGGGAAGTGGGGTTTGACATGACTCATTATACCCTGCAGCATTCATATCAACGCAGACCTTAAGTCTGATAAGAAACCTTTACATCTATTCGCTCTGAAGCCTGCTACCTGGAGGCTTCATCTGCATGAGAAAACTTTGGCCTTCACAACCTCTTACTATAACCCAGACATTTCTTTCTATTGATAATAACTCTTGCAACCAATTGCCAATCAGAAAGTTTTAAAATCCACCTATAACCTGGAAGCACCCCCCACATCAAGTTGTCCTGTCTTTCTGGACTGGACCAATGTGTATCGTCAATGTATTTGATTGATGTCTCATGTCTCCCTAAAATGTATAAACCAAGCTGTGCCTCGACCACCTTGGGCATGTGTTCTCAGGATCTCCTGAGGCTGTGTCATAGGCCATGGTCACTCATATTTGGCTCAGAATAAACCTCCTCAAATATTTTACAGAGTTAGACTCTTGTTGTCGACAGTGTTTATGTATGGATGTGTGTGTTTATGTGTGTGTATGCATGTGTATGTGTGTGTATGCATGTGTGTATGTATCTGTGTGTATATGTGTGTGTTTATGTGTGTGTATTCATCTGTATGCGTGTGTGTGTATGTGTGTATGCATGTATGTATCTGTGTGTGTATGTGTGTGTTTATGTTAATGTGTATGCGTGTATGTGTATGTGTGTATGTATCTCTGTGTGTATGTGTGTGTTTATGTATGTGTGTATGCGTGTGTATGTGTGTGTATGCATGTGTGTATGTGTGTATGCATGTATGTATCTGTGTGTGTATGTGTGTGTTTATGTATGTGTGTATGCGTGTGTGTGTATGTGTGTGTATGCATGTATGTATCTGTGTG